TTTTATAAAAAGATTCTTATTTTATAGAAATTATTATTGATAATAAACAAGACTTTTATTCTATAGAGGTTATTGTCGATATTAATATTCAAAAAACTGTTGAAAAATGGTCTGAAAAAGATTTAAGAGAGTTTGAAAAAATTAAAGAAAAATTCGTTAGTGAAGCTCTTAATTGGTATAAAGAAGTTGGAAATAATCTTAGAACAACATATATTGGAAACTCAAGAACAACGGTATAGAGACAAAACAAAAAAAAAAAAGAATATGCAGAACATTCCAAAGAAATGAAAACGATTGATATGTTTTTTCAATCAGATTCAAATAATTTTAATTCTTCACAAAAGATAACACTAAATATACGTTTTGAAGAAATTAACAAACAATGCTTGATTGGAAAATCTACAAAAGTAAACACCTATAATCACTTACATCTCTTAAGTATTCGTCGATTTATACAACTATTGTTAAATGGAAAAGGCAAAATGGATGCTAGCCATCAAATTGCAAAAACTATATGGAACAAAGGAGATTATACAGCTCGATGCATTCGAAATTGAGAAAGTTATTTTATACAAATGGGAACACTTCCTGCCTGTCGTCAAGGAAAGCATACAAAACTCAAAAGTCTATTAAGTGATGAAAACTTTATTGAAGATTGCAAAGCATGGTTGTGACAACAAAAACCAGAGACGCGTTCCCCTAGCAATTTAAAAATATATATTGAAAGTATATTATTTCCAAAATGAATAGGATTTATAAAAAAAGATACTATTTCAAAAAAAACTTGCAAAAATTATATGCGTATGTGGGAATACAAATATAATGAAAAAAAAAAAAAAAGGTATCTATTATGATGTGCACGAAAGATTGGATGTGGTAGCCTATAGAAAAGAATGGTTAAAGAAAATGTTTGAATATAAAAAAAATATGAAAGAATTTGAAGGTGATATGTTAAATATTATAATAGAACCTCAAGTTGAATTAGGAAAAAAGGAAATTGTTCAAGTAACACATGACGAATGTCATTTCTATGCAAATGATGGTCAGCGAAAAGTCTGGATTCGAGATGATGAAGATATTCTACGTTCAAAATATATAGGCCGTTCTATTATGGTTTCAGCTTTTTTATGTCCTTGTCATGAATTAATGCAATTATCTAAACAACAATTACAAGAAAATCCGCATATTAAATATAAAGAAGCTTTTATTCTTCGCTCTGTTCAAGAAGATAAATACTGGCAATCGGAGCATATGTTAAAGCAGGTTTGTAATTTTTTTTTTTTATATATATTGAATTTATTAACTAAATTTTTTTTTATAAATATAGTTAGTTAATCAAGCAATACCAATATTTGAGATATTACATGCTGGATGTATTGGTATTTTTTGTTTCGATCAATCAACGAATCACAATGTTATGGCAGAAGATGCATTAGTTGCATCGAAAATGAATTTGAGTTCTGGAGATGGACAACCCAAAATGTGTAATGGTTGGTATATGAACAATGAAGAGATATATATTCAATCGATGATATTTCCTAATGACTATCCAATAAAAAAATTAAAAGGACAACCAAAAGGCATCAAACAAGTATTAATAGAGCGGAACCTCTGGCCAACAAAGAAAATTAATTTAGTATGTAAGGAGTGTTCTGGAAAAATTGATATTCCAATAAGGTTGGATTGTTGCGCACAAAAAATTATGTCTTTACAACCTGATTTTCGTGAACAACGGTCAATATTGAAAGAAGCAGTTATGAATGCTGGACATATTTTTGAACACTACCCCAAGTTCCATTGTGAATGCAACTTTATAGAACGGTATTGGGGTTTTGTCAAACGGGAAACAAGAAATATATGTAGTTACAATTATGCAGATTTATTGATTCAAGTTCCTGATGTTCTTAGAAATGTGCCTGTAACTACAATCCGCAAATTCGTACGTAAGTCATGGCGATATATGGATGCGTATGATAAGGGATTAGAGGGTAGGGTTGCTGAATGGGCTGTTACTAAATTCAAATCACATCAGAGATTGCCAGAAAATATTGAGAAGATAATAGAAGATAATACAATGAATAAATAAAGTTGTTTCTTAAATAAATCATTTTGTATATGATAATAATGTATATAATTAGAAAAATGAAAATAATTCAAAATAAAAAATTAAAATTTATTCATAAATTGATTTATTATAAATGCGTGTATGCATACAAATTTAAAACTTTTTTTTTTATTTTTAATTAGTTGATTAGTTGACAAGTAAATAATGTATAATTGTGGTTAAAACAAAAATGACATTTGTGAAGTATAGACTTTTTTCAACACTTCGAGTAACAAAATATGCTTGTGAAACTAACAGTCTATAAACTCAATTGACTTTTCTTAAGAATTTGCTCAAAAATATAAAAGAACGAAAATACACTTAGAAAACTTGCTATATAATAGTCAATAGTTATAAGATTCTATTCAACAAGTATACAAATAACGAATATATACTTGCTAAAGCTTACTCCTAAAAAGTCGATAATATAGTTAATCCAATTTCCTTAATGATTTACCCAATAAATATATAAATAACAAAAATATACTTACTATCTTAAAGTCGACGATCAAGTCTCGATTCTTAGTGGTCATGTGCTATGGTTCTTCCGATAATGTCTAGTACGGACTGCATTGACCATTTTTCGAACTTCCAATTCACTCAGTTCCTTTAGGTATTGTCATCCTGACTATTCTGTCTTGCGAAACTTGTGCCATGTACGGATGTCATTGATGTTACCACATGAAGCTCCCTTGTACACACGTTGTCTAAATAAACTATTTTGAACATAAACATCACATTTGCTTTTTATTATCACAACATGGAAAGGTTATCAAGTTTAATCGCTTTGTCCTTGTATACATGTGTGTGACCCCTTCATTATTGTAAATGCTATTGTATCACTGATTGTTTCATTTGTATCTTGCTATATTTTTTGACCAATCGAGTGTCATCTTTACATTGCACTATATCGCACTCAGATTTCAATAAGGCTCTCCCAATTATATTATCGGTTAGTAGCCCTTTTATTGGACCACTTACCCGAGTCACCTTCTTGATCATCACATAATGCGAAGTGCTAGTTTTGCAAAGATGCCCGAGTATAAAAACCATATGCTTCCCATAAAAACATGCTCATCACTCGTTGCCATGATGCTGGAATGGTGTGCAGCCTAACAGCACTTTCTAGGTAATCAGATATAGTTCCCTTCTCATTCTTTTCGTACAAGCTCTAATCGATCGATGTCGACAGCACATTGCGCCACTTCAGAGCACCTTAGACCTAGAATCATTCTTGCATAGTACTCTGTTCCTATCCTAATGTCCCCTTCCATCTTTCCTATTAGTTCTTTTCCCACGATCTGATCCTTATCATATGGCTTCGACAGTTCTTTCTGTCATACTAATTGTTCCGCGGGGTCTGTAACATCAGAGGGCAATCCAGCGCTGAAGTCGAACTCAATACTTATTTTTTCAGTACAATGTCTTCCTTTCCATCAATCTTTTCACAATTCTCGTCACATGTCGTCGGCGATTCTTTTATCACTGCGACGTCTTGTTCTTCCAAGACTGCTTTTGCTAACTCGTGTCGTCTCTCTGATACACCCTCTTCCTTCTCCTCAGTTTTATCGACTTTGTCAAAATCCTCTTCGGTCACCATCAACGTTTCTTCCCATTGGGAGACATACGTTGCAGGACCTAGGACCTTCAGTCGTGCTTCATCATTGGAGTCGGAACTTTTATGCATCTCCCCTGTCACCTCACCTTTCCCTTCCTGACAATATATCGCCTTCATCCATTTTCCTTTTCTCATAACAACTTTTGCCTCGCGAAACATTCTCACTAACTGTATCACAAGGTTTCCCATTGTCGATTTCGTCAGTAGATGCATTTTCAGCCTCATAATTCTGGATCGGGAACTCTTTTTTCTTTCTAACCTGAACCTTCCTTTATCGGTTTTTTCTTTGTTTCTACAGTGTCATTATCGTCGCACTCAGATTCTCGGACTTGAGACTTGAGCCTGGTTCTCAGTAGCCCTTTCTCATCACTCTTGACTCCGACACAACATTCCATTCTCTGCTTCTGCCCTTTTTTAATAAACTATAGCACCAAGCTCAATGACCTCTTCCTCCTTATCACTATCGCTTTCAGTATCGTTAGATCATGTCTCCATGGTCGGAATACCTTCCTGGTCAAATTGTCTTTCTCCGGTGTAATGACTCCTTTCACCACATACAATGCATTGTTCAAAAACCAAATCTGCAAAAAGATTTGCACTCGCTTTTTGTTTAATGAACAATATTTAGAATTAAAATATAATTAAATATAATATTTTATTATTTTACCTTTATGAATTATGAAATTACAAATCGTTTTTAATGTATAAAAATTTATCAATCAGTGAGAATTATTGGTCAAAAAAGATCATGTGAGTGACACATCATGTGATATATGTTTATAATAATTTGAAACAAATTGTTGAGTATAGATTTCCTGCACCATATAAGATAAAAAAAAAACTACATACAAAGGTTTTTTACAATTTAGGTCACTTAATTCAAGTATTTTTTGAATTATGTCCTTATTAAAATAATGAATAAATAATTATGTCTCTTCAAAAGAGACATAATTGATCTGTAAAATTTTATATGCTAAATAGTTTAGGGACCTATCTTTAGTAGTAGCAATGTATGTTATGTGTTTCCTGTGGAAAATCCTGGACTAGTACAAGTAAACTATGCTGTCAAAATGCTATTTACAGCTATTGATGTTTTGATGTTGTCTCCAGTGGAAAACCCTGGACTAGTAACTGAAATTTTTGTCAATTGCCATGTTTACATGCATGTTTTCTGGGCTTTGACTATATAAGTCTAGCTGTTGCAAGCAGTGCAGTTGACAAGCAAACATCGAAATATATTAAGCTGTCGATTATTTATATTTTATGTGGCAAGATACTATATATACATATTAAATTGTTTTTTTTCCATCTATTTTTTGAAACCTTTGCCACTGCCTTGCATTTTCTTGTGTCACAAAAAATCAATGATCAAATAAAATACATTTCTTTTTTAAATAATCCTATCCACAACTTGTTAAGTGTTCGCCTAACCATTTCTAACCTTACTGTCAATTCTTACCAGAATATAAATATATTGAAAGTATTTGTATATATTTTTAAATTTATTAATGATAAAATAAAAAATAAGAAAATTAGTGGAGAGATTTTTTAAGGTTCTTTAATTATTGTGAAGGAGATATAAAAACCAATACCAATGCTTTGAAAAATGACATTGCTGATGTAAAAAAAAATAAAAAAAAAAATTTATAAAAATTTTGTAAGTTTAAATTTTTATATGTTTTTTTAAAACCAGTATTAATTTAATTATATTGTATTGCAGGTTAAAAAAATCTCTTAACTCAAAAATACCTTGATAAAGTATATTCTGTAAAAATTATATTTTTGAATCTTGTTCCTGGTTATGATAAGAAAAAAATAAAAGGAAAGTGGATTTATAAAAAATAAAATCCCCTGCCTCTCCATATACCTGCAATCGATATTGCTTCCTGTATTGTAAGAATGATAAAAAAAAATAAAGAAATAATAGTTTATAACAAGACCTCAAATAAAATAATACTTGCTGTATACCGAAACTGAATTGGCTTTGATATACTTAAACTTATAAGAAATACAATTGCCAATATGTTTGTTTTATGACAACAAATTGCCCAATCATTTGAAATAAAACTGGATCAAGGTGCTTTAACAGCAGCAGGATATATTGTATTAAATAAATTTATTTTCAAATTTTCAAATTTTATTAACATGTAAATACTTGCAGGTACCTTTCGACAAGAAAAAGTGAAATTTTTACATATGTCCACAATATACTTGTTAAATTGCGAGGATCTGAAAAACAATATTTACAAGAAAAAAATGTTGTAGCAATGAACAGCTTCTTTTTTAACTATGCCATTAATATATTTTCCAAGGATATGACTTTAAGTATCTAAAAAAAAATCAAAGAATTTGACCTTTTCCAATTGGATGGCAACCAGTATAATGCTGTTGATAAAGGAATTATGATTTCTTGCAATGGCAAAAAAATTTTTTTAAACCATTCTTTAGGTCTTTGTAAAGCCTATGTAGTCTGGAAATATAGTAAGTTTGCATATACTGATACTAATTTTTTAGAACATGTGATTGCAGCAACCTGTTTGAGAGGAATATGACTTGCCAATAGTAGTGAATTCGATTGTCAGAAAGGTGATTTCGATAGTGGTAATTTTTATATAGTTACATAGAGAATTAAAGTAGAAATAACAAGTATTTTAAAAAAAAAAGATTAAATTTTTAATATTTTTTTAGAAAATACTTTTTATTGTTGGCCAGAAAATAAATTGCATGGCATTACAGTCTTGCCGATAGGGGGTGTAACTTGTGAACTGTCATAAAATTTATTCAAAAAAATAGTAACAGTTATAAAAAAATGGAGGAAAGGATATGGTTCCAAAAATTGGAATTGAATAGAATCGAACAGAATCGCATGAAGTTCGAAACACTATTAAAAATGATGGTGGGGTATATCCCACCTATTAAATTTAATATAAACTTGAGAATTGAATACAGAATCG